GAGAGGAAAAAATGAAACAAGACGAAACCAGAGAGGGAGACAAACCATAAGAGACTCTTAATCATAGGAAACAAACTGAGGGTTGCTGGAGTGGAGGGGTTGGGAGGGATGGGGTAACTGGGTGACAGACATTAAGGAGGGCATGTGTTGTAATGAGCACTGGGTATTATATAAGACTGATGAATCACAGACCTGTACCCCTGAAACAAATAATACATTATATGTTAATTAATTGAATTTAAATTAAAAATAAATTAAAAAAAAAAAAAGGCTTCCACCTGGAAATGACCTGCATCACTTTTTCTTGGTTAAAGCAAGTCACTGGGTGCCTAACTTCAAAGAGACTGGGAACTACGCTCTTTCCATGCACCCAGAAGGAAAGTGAAAAGGCTTGCATGGCAGTCCCATCTACCACCTCCTCTGAAACACATCCCCTGTGAACTGCTACATCCAAAGGCTCTGGACGGAGCAAAGCTGCTCCCCATCACTGACCTGCTTAGTCTCTGGTGTGAGGCAGAAAAAATACTTTGTTAGCCTCTGAAATTTGGGTATTATTGCAGAAGCTAGCCTGCTCTAATATTCTATTCAACTTACATTATAGTTAAAGAAGGTAGTAATACTTTTTTTTTTTTTTTTAAGTAGCCTCCAGGCCCAGTGTGGAGCCCAGTGCAGGACCCAAACTCACGACCCTGAGATCAAGACCTGAGCCAAGATCAGGAGTCAAAGGCTTAACTGAGCCCAAACAGTACCCTTTTTTTAAGCCCTTACCATGGGCCTGGCACTGTGCTAATAAGCACTTCATGTATGAAATGTTTAGCACAGTGCCTGGCCCTAATCAGCTCTCAATTCATGTTAGTTGTTAACCTTATTCCAATTTTGTCTTACCTGTGTATGTATTTGCTCAGATGGATTCTGTGCTATAAACTACAGGACCCTAATGGGAATTGCAAGGCGATTGAGCATCTTGCTTATCATTTTCTCTAACACATCTGCAAGTTTTCATACTCTGTGGGAGGCTGAGCTGGAAGTACAGGTTTCCAGGATCAGAGACAGCATGTGCAGAGGAAAGAACACTGGAACTAGCAGTCAAGGTTAGTTTAGTTCAACACATATTTACTGAGTACCTTCTGTATGTACCAGATGCCAAAGTAACAAAGGAGTGTGAGAGTGGACCCCTGCTCTCTAGGAGCTTACACTTCTGCAAGGATGGCAAACAAGTAAAGCAGGACACGTGTAATAATAAGAGTATAAACAGGGAACAGGAGGGCCATAAGACCTGGGTTCTAGCTCTAGCTGTGTGACCCCAGACATGTTATTTAACCTCTCTGGGCCTCGTGGACAGTGAGAATGGGGTAGGTAATTTCTAACCCCTACAATCCTCAAAACCCTGTGAGGTAGACAAGGCAGGCACGATTTCTACTTTAGAGAGGTGAAGCCTGGGGTCGGAGAGGCTTAGCAATGTGGCCAGAGCTCCACACCGGCTGGTCGGTAGAGCTAGCCTCAGACTAGTCTCAGGCAGGTCTTGGGAGCCAGACCCAGAATGTGTCCACTCCAGGCTGCCCCGACAGAGAGCGGGGATCTCTGATGAAGGTGGCAGGAGGCTTTCCAGATGCCCCCAGTTTGAGTCCCATACGCTACTGACCAAGAAGAGAACAGAGGCAGGTACCTCGCCCACCTCCACCCCCTCCTGGTGGAAGCACTCCCAGCAGACAGTGGGCCTTTCTGAAAACCAGGTCATCTTTTACAGAATGACACAGTAACATTAGCACGGTTATCCTGGTGAGCCCAGGAACCTTCAGCAGCCACGGTCAGTCAGCGATGCCTGGTTCCCATTCACAGCCATGTCCCCATCTCGGGCTCTGTGCATGATGCAAAGGACATTTTGGAGGCTGGGACAGCTCTCCCTCACTGCACCTCTGGGCCACCGCCCACCCAGCCCACCCAGGACGTGCTCGCTTAGGGAACACGAGTGAGCTCATCTAATTGAAGCACAGCACATTAAAGATTCATCTTTGCTGCACCTCTAAAACCACGCCATGGCCACCAAAGCTTAAAAGCCAAGTCTGACCAGAGCAGCCTCTGCCATCTCCCGCCCTGGCACATGGCTCCAGGCGCTGTGGGCAACCCCACGGTCATGGGAACCATCTTTGGAGCAGGTGCTAGGTGCGAAGAGGCCAACAACCACACAGTCCCTGCCATCCAGGGCTTTATAATCAGATGGCAGAGCAGTCGGATGGGGTGAAGAGAGGAGTCACAGATGACAAGGCCAGGCGACTCGGGCCATGTGAGAGGCTCGGTCCTAAGTGCTGGAGGTTTGGGGGAAGGGAGTGGCCACTGAGAGCTGCTAACTGTCCGGGGAGGCGTCTGAGGGAGGCTCCAGCCCGACCTTGAAGGAGGAAGAGGACAGAAGGCATCATTTGCATTACCCCCACCCTCTGTGGGTAATTTAAATGAAAATCATACGAAGGAGACAAAAGTGTCCAGAAAAGGAATCGCCTGTGGGCCTCCATCTTGTTTCCCCTGGGTGGCCCCGCACCCCCACACGTACACCCTCCCAAACCTCCCTCCCCAGAGCTGGCCTCAGAGCTGGCAAAGGGACGTGCGTGCCACACAAGTGGCTTCCCAGGGGCCCTGTGGGGTGGGGGTGGGTTCAGACCCTGCCTCCACCACCCCACAGCTGTGTGACGTGGAGCCAGTCCCGTAACCTCTCTGAGTCCGCTCCCCATCTGTGAGCGCGGGCGGGCAGTGCGGCCTTGCGGGGCGGAGACGGACTCAGCCGACACCAGCTGACCTGGGGGCACAGCCCCGCACGCTTAGCCGGTCCTCCCTGTCGCCCTCCAGCTCCACAGAGGCCGTCTGAGGGGCGCCTGCCGTGCGTGCTCAGCCTTCCACAGGGGCCCTGCCCGCTCCAGGGCTGCACCGAGGACCGGCCTGGGGTTTGGGTCCAAATCCCCCCAGGGAGCTGCGGCCCAGGCTCCGAGGTAAGCACACTCTCAACGCCAGGGGTCGCCTCGGCAACGAAAAACCTTCCGAAGGGGCTCAGGAGTGGGGTCTGGGGAAGGGGGAGGGTCCCTTGGGTCCTCGTGGCGGAAGGAGGTGCGCGCAGGTGGTGCGGAAGGGGGGGGGGTCGGAAACCAGCGGGGTGCCCGCCCTCGGTGCTGCCCCCTGTGGCCGCCAAGAGCACAGCACCGGGCCCCGCAGCCCCGCAAACGGGGCGGGCGCGGCCCACGGGGGAGGGTTAGGGTTAGGTGCTCAGCCCTCTCTAACCTTGGGAAGGGTTGCCTGCGTTTCCGCATTTCCGCGGGCCAGTGTTTGCTTTCCGTCCTGTGTTTCCTTCCTTGGTGGGCACCAGATGGGAAAACTCTGAAAACCTTGGCAACCCTGAGTCCGGGTTCCTTTAGCTGCTAAACTGATTTAGAATTGTGGTGTGTTCCCAGGACAGACCCGAGGGCAGGAGAGCTTATTTGCCAGTGTGCACTTGGAAGCGGCGGGTGGCAGGCTTTGGATAACCGAGTAAGAGGTAAGATCCGAATGGCGCGGGTTCATCGTCCCCTGTCTTGTCCCACTGCTCCCTTCCCAGCCCCCCTCATTGTTCGGTTCTCCCCACCTGCACCCCGCCCCCGGCGGGCCGAGAGCAGAGCTCGGGGCCTTGGGACTCTGCCACTTACAGTTCGGCCACCTGTGACAGCATTTCCTGCCTCGGACATTTCTGTGGCTACCACCCGCAAGGCTTTGGAGCCTGGCCATCTGTGAGGGAAAGATCCTGGTGAGGACCACGGGCCTGTGCATGACTGAGAATGGGCGGGAGGGCGACTATCCCCAAACCCCCCCTCTAAAGTAGTGGCGGCCGCTGACCCCCCCGACACACTTCCCACACGTGCAGGGAAGGTGGTGGCCTTCCTGCCCCCCCCGCCCC